TTTTTTTTTTTTTTTTTTTTGTCGGGGAGGAGGATGTGGGGGAAGGAGGGTAGGGGCAACGTTTCACAGGAATCCAAATGAAATCATGACAACTTAAACTTCTTGTTTGGTGACTAAATTCTGCGATCAAGCCTTGAAGGCCGGCGCCTATCTCCGTTTTCCGTAGCATGAAGCGACTAGGAGTATTTCTATTCCCCCCTGGATGGGATGCTTGTCCATCGCAGGGTTATCCGCAGCATTAAGTATGCCGGTACCCATTTATACACCTGGGTGGAGAGAGGCACTGTGAGAGTAAAGTGTCTTGCCAAGAACCAGGCCAGGCCTTGAAACCGGAGCGGTAGGTCCTCTACCTTGGTGGAACTGGAATTTGGAGTGTTGGTTTTCGTGGAGGAAGGAAAACCGCGGAATCCGTAGAAAAACCCTCGGAGCAAGGCGAGAACTAACAACAAACTCAACCCACATATGGCACCGGGCCAGAATCGAACCCGTGCCACGTTGGAGGGAGCTGGGAGCCGAGCGCTCTCACCATTGCGACATCCTTGCTCCCATCCTTGCTCCGCCATCCTTACTGAGTCCTTTTTCAGTCATCCTCACCAATGTTAGTCATCAACAATTACTTATTACTCTCTGTCATTTCTTTTTAGCACCAGTCTACAAAAATTAATCCATTATAATTGTTGGGTTTCCCAATATTGGCATCTGTATCCATGCTGCAAAAGAAATATCGAGACTCGTAGAAATAAATCATCTCATGTTTTAATTGCATTACAGTAACTGTTCAAGCGTACTACAATAAACTATGCTTTCTTACTTTTGTTTAGCTCGCTTGAAAAACTGATACTGACGCTGCAAATCAGAGATGCAATATTAAAACTCTAAATTTTAACCAAGATGTACATTAATTTATTTCTCCTTAAACATAAAAAAGAATTAATCAAAGGATTTCCTTTATGCAACATCAAATTCTTATAAGCAATATTAACTTTTTGCTTCACAACAAGTTGGGAGAATTTATGTTTCTAATCTGGAAAACTGGATAGGACGTGTTGAGTGCTTTTCGTGCCCTAATTCCTTTGACATGTTTTACAAGGCTCCAAAGTTTTCAGTAACTCGATAACCGCTTGCAAAGATGCCAAATCAAAAATCGAGGGGGCAGCAAAGCTTAGCGAAGATAAGTCCGTTGACTTTTGGGCCATATTTAAAACCCTTTACAGTATACAGTACTGAAATATTCAGCTTTCGCTATCTTTCAAGTTTATTTTCCCGGTCTACAGAGAAGTGGTGTACTTGAATAGTTCAAATGTGTTGAGAAATTTTTCCGGGTCACTCAAGACTTTATTAACACCTTCCTCCCAGCTCTCCAAAGCAAGTTTGTCCACGTCTCGAAACAAGTTTACGTTGGGGAGAAAAATATGGCCCAGACTTCTTTCTGCAAGACACCGTTGTAGCTCTTTCATTATGTCCAGGAAACGTTTGGAGAGCTTTTCATCGCTCCAAAAGGATCTGATGGGAAATTTCTCAGTTACGTGCATAACAAGAGTTTCTAATTGAAAACTATCGCATCTTTCTTTACTGGACTGCATGTTTTCCATGATGATTTCAAGGATAAGAAGACATTTTGTGCGACAGCCCATATCCAATTGCAGCAGCTTTCTCATAGGCCCTGGAAAGTCAATTTCCCACTGATAGCCTGACTTGCTAGGCGACGGTCTGGCAACTAGGTGAATACCGCTTCGTATCAACTCCTCTTTTAACTTCCTGTTCGCCCAATCAGCTGGCTTGGATTCCCACGCGTGCGCAGAAAATACCCAGCGTCCAGGGCAAGGAATCGCTGGGACGAGAGCGAGGCTGAATGGCTCCGCATCGTGTCCGCTAACCAGCAGTGAAATTGTATTGTCGTCGCAGGCTTCGTTGACAGCAATGCTAACCTTCCCTTCCTGTTGTCTGCTATTGGGTTCATCGTTAACCACTCGTTTAACAAGCTCGAAAAGCTTCTCTTTAACAATTTTCGCCGACATATAGACTTTGCTGGGATTGCTGTTTCCACTGCAGAATTTCCAGCGAGAAACCATCTTTTTGCCGGTCAGCCTTGCTAGCGAAAAACCCGCGGGAGTTTGTCCGTCCTCGATAGAAATCTCGCCGGGGTCTATTCCTTGAAAAATTAGAAGCATTTCGAAGTGGCTTGGTGATTTCACGACAAAAAGGCTATTAGGACTGATCAACTCGAAATCAAACTTCGCATCAATTTTCTTAACTTCCGCCAATAATGGATTAATTATTTTTTCGATTTCCATTAGCATTCTTCGACGATGTTGAACGAAATGCTCGGCGTGCGTTTTGACGAAACTTTCCAGAGCAACATTCATCTTGGGCACTGACGACGAGAAATATCCTTGAATTAAATTCTTGCGACAATTTCAGGGATGAAGCAGTTACCTTTTAGCGTTGTTTGTTCCTGTGTCGATAAGCTGAGGTCTCCGTTACATTAACATTTCATGGAAGATTAAACGGCAAAGCTGCGGCTTCCAAATGTCGAACAGATATCCGCTCTTTAGGTCTGACTCCAGCAGTCGAACGCAAGTCAGCCAATAAATCGCCAATATGTCACAAGTTATGCAAATTCATTTGTCTGAAATAAGATAAATATGAGCAGCAGTCATAGAGGAAATGCCAATCAGGTTTAAGTCGCTTTTAACACCCGTTGGAACAATTTGAGAAGGCTATTTAAGCGTTAAAATATTCGTTGCGTTCACTGCACAAACGCTTGACATCCAAAATTTGCATATTCCATACAAATTGATCAAAAATTGATCAAGATAATATTCATTTTCTCTGGATTAACCGGACGGGAAAACAGATAAAATTTGAAATGATACACGCTTGGTCAGAGCACAGAACTTGCACCTTAATACTTTCTCCGAGTAATATCCTCTTGTCCTTGTAATGGGAACAGATAAATAAATAAATACTTAAATAAAATAAAGTTCGCTCACCCATGGTTCAACGTTTTGGGTCCATTGTAACCAGCGAAGTAATTTCAACTTATTGTAGTCACTTTATTAATTCGTCTCCGCATGAAATTTTACCTCATTTTATTGAAGAAAAAATGTCGCTATGATTGAACTTGAACTATTCAGTTGTTTGCTAGATGTTCCCCAGAGAAATTAAAATACAACGTACTAAAAGTGTAAGTGTTTGTTTATTGAAAAAGAAGACAGAAAAGGGAATAAAAGCAATACTACAAAACATCCCGATTTGACTCGAGAGCTCTCGATATTTAAACGCGCTGAAATTTCCCTTCAACGCTTATTTTTCTACTTAGCAGTTTTATACACGTCATTTACAACTGACACAGAGGTGTTTAATGAAAAATAGACAGCTACTATTCATTCTGAATATTGTCAGCAATTAGAAATTGCTGACATTTTAAGCCCGCTACAACACAGTGAATCGCTCTCCGAGTTAAGACAAAATTGTTCGGCGAGCTCAAAATGTTGGAGTTCCGTGCAGTATTCCGACTGAAATCCAGATCTTTTATTTGACTTAACAAAGAAACAAGAAATAAAAAATCTTGCTAATCTCTCGTCAGCTAAGTACATCTATTGAAACAGGTGTCGAGTATTTTCAACCATAGTTACTTGTTTCCATGACAGGTTCTTAACTTGGTTGAAGGACATGAAACCTATATATGCTTAATTTGAATTTTAATCCCTAAACACAAAAGAAACTTTCGGCGCCGGTTGCAACAAGAACTATTTATCCACGGCACATTAATTTCCCCGCGAACCTCTTATCTTAGAAATTACGCTTTGGCTTTTCTCAGTTTATCGATTCAATTTTACTGGAAATTAAAAATGCAAAACATGGCAAATACACGTTTTTGTCAAGAAACAATTCATTTACCTCAAACCTTTGAATAATTAACATCGGCTGTAATTTGAGTGAGAACATGAAAGGAAAACAGTGTGAAAACTGAAAGAAAGCTTTATAATGTTCTCTGCACTGTCGTTTATGACACAATTCGCTTCAAAGGGGGAAGGATGTATATCATATGAAATATGGAAATTACAATTCAAACGCGAAACCATTATCAGATATTTCAGAATAAATACGTATCAGTCTTTGGCTCCATTCCAAAATAACTCTTCAGTAAGTCTCTCAAAATTTATGCATCACGTCTATGGCATATGTCCGCAAATATAAATAGAAAATTGTTTTCCTGAATCCCTTCACTTGTTGACACAGCCTCGCTCCCAGTCCTATTTCACCCGTGATTAACCGATTTTATAATCAGGGACTGGAAACTAGTCTGATCGGGAAAAAATATTTCAGCAGTTTGACGATAACAAAATGAAAGGAAAATTTGTAAGAATACATATATATCATTTGTTGTGACATAAACAACGCAAAGAAATAAAAATCCTGATCACCGCTTTTTTCATAGTTTTGCTTCTGTCAACAGTACAGGAATTGTCAAAATTCCCCATAATTACTCAATAGCCGATTTTCATGTAGCGTAGTCCTATTTCAAAATTAAAAATTACCTGTCCGTTCTGAAGTTTCAGTTCCTTCAGATTCAAGAACCTCTAAGAACTTGGACGTTTTACAACGTTTAATTTTTCCGTGGTTGTTTAAATACCAATCATCTATCACATCCCAGATTCTTGACATAATTAATTTTATTGAACGGTAACGATTTTTGTTTTTGATGGCGTGACAGTGAAAGCCAGCAATTCCTTTGGTCGTAATCAAGAGGGATTGGAAGAAAGTTAATCGCCCATATTGATTTGCATCATTTTTCATTTTAGTACCATTGGTAATCTGCTTTAATATGGGGTCTTTGACTCTTTTGCATTTCATCCTTTGGCTTCTGTTTTTCTGTGCCATAAATTGTAATTAAAATATAGGCGTTATTCCCAAGGTAATCCCTTTCAAGTTATTTCCAATCACTCCCGGTTTCGGATATCCCAGGGGAGTCAAGAAATAGCCAATCCTAAGAGGGGGATTTTGGTCACGTGGACAACCCAAGCGACTTAACACGCATTTTCATCCTCCCAGAAAAAACCCAGGCAAAGCGCGAGGTAAACTTAAGCGAGGAAGAACTGGGTACCATGTCTAAATATAACTTGAGAGAGATTACCTCAGTCCTATATGAGGAAGGAATTCTCTCACCCTTCATCTGCTCTTGACCTCAACAACTTTCCTTTCTTAACCTTCCTTGATTCGTTCTGGCTAATAATGTTTTGTCCCATTTTTCTATCTGAAAAAAACTTTATTTTGAGGCATCCTTTGATCTTAAAACTTTGTGCAATTAAAAAACATTACCCCTGGCTGCAACTTTGTAATTTAGCGTCTGGGTATTTGTGGTGTTGACATATAGATACGAGTATTCTCTCTTCCACAAGACGGTAAAATGCCGCCTGATAATTCACGGCAACCTGCTAAAGCTTTGTTTCGCACCTTGTCGGACAGCACAACAATCCGTATGTGTCAAATGTTTCTGATGCTGTTTCAGTCCCATTTTGCTCAGTGCTAGCTTGTTTGCTTGTCTCCACTGCTGTATTGACTGGTGAGCTGCTGTAAAGCCTCAGCTTCATGTTGAGACTGCAGAGCCCGGATCATGTCGTGTAGCTTGTCTTCTCCTTCAAGGAAAAGTTCCAGGCCGTGGTCGGTCAAGCCTATTCTGTGATCAGTTACGCGGCCCTTATGGAGACAATGTATAAGCAATTAGACTTCGACTTCGTTGTCCGCAAGTAACATCACCTTCTTTCGCTACATGTTAACAATTACTTATTTTGAAGAGTTTCAAAAGCATGCATGTTGAAATATCACTATAAGGCGGCTTGAGGTTTCTATCGGATGACAGCCAGCGACAAAAAGAGTTACTAAAAACCGACAACGAGATGTCAAATTGTTTAAAGACGTTTTCGATTGACCTCACGAATAGGAAATATTTGTAAATATTGTTTAATTCAAAGCAACTTAAGTCGGCAATTATAAGTAACAAATGTATAAACTTAGGTGAAAGGAAAATGTTACAGACCATTATATAATAATCAAATCAATGCGCGCGCTCTGATTGGTCAATCAGCTATGGTTTATTGTGCCAGTAAACTCATGGAAATTTCGTGTGTCTCCTGAATTATTATATCAAAGTAATAGACCACAAGTTGCTATGGTTTATAGGCTGATAAACCACTTGGGAAGTTGGAAGAACACTCGAAGAATTCGTAAATTCTTCTCGTGTTCTTCCAACATCCCGCGTGGTTTATCAGCCTATAAACCATATAAACTTGTGGTCTATTGCTTAAATAGACGGCGCCTGCGCAGTCAGTCATATTTCAAGTTTGCCAATAGTTGGTCGCTTGATTCAGTTATCAAGACATTTTAATGTCTAAACAAGACACTCTTCGCAATGTGATTGGTAGGAAGGCATTTGAAACATAACTGTTTCGAGACCACAGTTTAGTCATGCTAAACGAAACAAAAAACTGAGCTTGCTGAAACTAAAAACTAACCTGTGGAAAGTTGTAAGTCCTGATCTTTTCGGAGCGCTCTCCACTTCCAATCTAATCAAAAAGAAAAACCTTTGATTTAAAAAGTTACGAATCACCACATCACTTTATCTGAAAACACCTGTTGCGGCTATTTCGTTTTTCCTTTGTCTTTTTTCCGTTCCGTATGTTAATGTATTTTCTCACATTATGCATGCTTTTTTTTTCTTTTCGCTTCGTATGTAAATTTCGTTGCGTATATATTTGTGTTATCCTTTCATGTTCAATTAGCGTCGTGTATCATCCGTTACCGTCGTAACTTTTTGGTTCCCTGAACCCCGTTTCCAGCATTTAGTAAGCCGTTTAGTTTATCGTCTGTTTTGTATCTTCCTCTTAGTTTTCTGCTCTTTTCGGTTAGTTATTTTGTAGTACATTATTTTATGTTTATTTCTGGGAATTTACCTTCCTACTACGGAAAGTTATTAAATTTGCTGGACTAACTAATTGAAGTTCGCTTTAAGTTGTTTGGTGGTCCGCTCTCTGCCTCTTCACCCCACTACCAAACAGTACTAAATTGTACGAACCCATACACAACAAAGATGACAATTACCTTCTGATAAAAGAAAATGGACACTCGCGTGACGCCATATGATCTAAAATGGCAAGCCTCACCAATTTCACACCCCTTACTTCAAATCATCTTTAGCTTAAACAAAACTTCAACAATTGACTGGCTTATTTCCTTTAAACCCAGTCCCAGAGCTTGTCCCAAGCATTCTCAAGGTAGTTATCAAACACGCATGCTTACTGGAAATGTCTCAGAACATATGTCACCAATCTCGAACCCAGACTCTTCCCGGCTCGACCGAGCTGGGAAAACTCTGGGCTCGAGATTGATTTCTCACATTTTTTTTTTGGAAAAACTGCTGACCTGTTTCCTGCGGGCTTCTGTTCTCTCTGAGTCCGCCTGCTGTCGCTGCATATTATACAGTCGTGTACGTAATACTTGCAAGGCCTTGCTCCTATTCTACGAAAAAGAATACACGTAAATCAAAAAACTGATTTACCTTGGCACTGTAGACAAACGATTAATTGGCTGTCCATCACACTAGCTCATAAGGTCACAACATGTACATTATCTACTTGTCGGGAGATTCAGAAAGTTTTGTTGATTTCGGATACCCTAAATGAGGAGATAAAAAATACTCCAAATTTTTGAAAATCCCAACTGATGATTGGTTAACGAGTTGGCTATTTACAAGGAGGGAGCAGGGAGTTTATCTTGAGACTGCCAAAACAAACGATAAAGGATTTGAATGAGGGATCTCAGATTTCAAATCTAGCGCTCTTAACCCCTCAGTAACGTTAGCTCAAAGTTTTATCCGCGAAACAAAGCCAATGGAAAAGAGCGTCTGTGTAGGAGCCTACTTGAAGCCCCCTGGGAAGGGGGGGTGTAGTCCCTCATATGGGCTATATAGGTATGTGCAGCCCCAAAGGGTATGGTTTTTCAGCCGCTTTGGTCATAAATAGGATATCGATGTGGCCATTTCGGTCTTGAATAGGGTATGGTTTTAGTAGTCTTGTCTTGAATTGGGTATGTTTCTTGGAAGAAGCTACTTTTTCATCATTAGTGATAAGACCATAAACAAAAGCCCTTCAAACATTATGTTTAGGGCAACTGTTTCAGCCGCAACGGTCATAAATAGGGTATCGAATTTCTGGTTAGGTCATAAAAAGGGTACGAAAAAATCGCAGATTTTGGCCAGAATTTTGGGAAGCGGGCCGCAAAGCGAAGCGGGCCCTACCAAGGAGTTACCCCCACCCCCAGAGCTTGAAGCGCTGCTATTGTAGCCTGCGTAGCAGGCGTATAAAGGGGAGGGGGTGGGGGAGGAGGAAGAAAATTCCCGAATTCTCTTCCTCCTCCCCACCCCGTACCCTTTATATGCCTGCTACGCAGGTTACTGCTATTGTACTAATAAAATATTTCCAAAACCTTTCGGTCTTGTTATGAGGCA